TTAATGAGGTTTCGTATTGCATCCCAGTGATATGCGCACGTTTCCACGGTCTCGCCCTTCTCATCAGTACCACTTGCCCCATAGTAGAAGTAGCAGAGGGAGAACCTCGTAAAAGGCTCAAAAAAAAAGCTGTGGAGATATATACTAGGTTGAGGAAGAAGTTTCTCAACACCACGAAGAACAGCGAGCAACTGAGTTGAGTCTACGATGCGTCGAAGGAAAAGTACCCGACATTGATTTGTCGAAGGCGCGCGCTGTTTCAGTAGGACAGTGCCAAACTCACACTGCAAAGAAGACTAAGGTAGAGTTTGATGAAACTTGAGGGAGTCGAGGTCTTGCCGCACCCAGTCTACAGTCCAGATGCTGCGTCGTCCGATCAGATTCTCATTTCCGCTCAATGAAACATTTCCTGCATGGACGACAATTCAAGACATCGAGGGTAGACGAGGAATGTCAGGAGTTGTTTTGGTGCAAAGCCCATGGAATGGCCGCATTCGAGCCGATCCGGCAGCCTGCCGATAATGATGATCATTATTTTGAAGAATAATTAGTGTTGTTTATAATTGAATTGGCTAGAGTTCGAATTTTCAGCGGGTGTTGAGGAATTTTTTGCTCAGCCTAATAAAATTCCTTTATTTTTATGAATTAAATAACGCGCCGTCACAATTTTTATCGTGCGAATTCCAGTACTTTTAGTGTTCGACTCGTTTTCCGTCTTCGTCTTGAATAACACAGAATGCTGGTCGAGCATGTCTCCTTGCAACCTCGAGGATAGCCTGGCTGTGGCGTTCTATGGAACGTTTTTGCTGACTGCCGTTGATTGTTGGGGGAGGGGAGTGGAGCTCGCCTTCATCGGCGCTGCGTCAAGCATCACAACCACTCGGCCACTGAGCCCGTTTGTACGCTAAGAGCGGACAAACATCGACTGACGAAACGACGGTTTGACATTTCACCTGTCCTGCACTGTGCCCTCTGCTACTCTTAGTATGGGGCGAGTGGTACTGATGAGACGGGCGAAACCGTCGAAAGGTTCGTATATCACTACAAAACAATACAAGACCTCGTAAAAGGACTTGTAAAAAGTTTATAAAAATTTCCATAGAAATCAAAGCACTGCTAAAAAGCACTAAAAATAGTCGTAAAGCATATCAGTAAGAATTTTTTCGTTGAAAATTCAGTCAAGAAAAATGCTTCACACACTGCGATTGTCGTTAAACGATCTCATATTTTCTTTCCGACTTATCGTCCATCCATCTTCTCAAAAGCGCTACGCCTGATTTTATTATTCTTTTTGAACAGTAACTTCCTTCTCTCAAATTCTTCTTTACTACTATAGAATAATTCGATTTTCTTCTCTCTAATGGTTACCAAATCACTTTCCCCCAGTTGAATGCTGCTTATCATCTCCTTATATTTACAGTGCGTTGTCTATCAATTTTTATCGTTTTTCGAAGATACGTTTACAAAGTTTCCTTCAATTCTATTCGTGTCATAACATCAAGTTCACTTGCTTTCGCATTTCGCGCTCTAATCGAACACCGTCGCCCGCCCACCAACGAGCCGTCCTGACGACGTTTGAATTCGTTCTGATTTCCTCTTCTTTTCTTCTCTTCTCTCTCTTCTCTTTCTGTCTTCTTTTTCTTTTTTCTCTTCCTTCTCTTTCTTTTTTTCCTCTTCTTTCAACACTCTGCGGGCGGCAGCACAGGCGACGTCGCAAGCGCTATGCGATATTCGCTTTTTAAAGGGATTTTTTCTCTATTTAAGTAGAACTCAAAGTTTTTTGTGCATTGCTCTAATGAATTGTGGTCTTCTCTACACAACCGTATTCTTCTTCTACGCACTTGACTTTTACGTGCGAAGAAAACTGCGAGTTTGAAATGTAAGTTTCTTTTCGTTTCCAAAGAGCGCTATGAAGATTTTCTCAGACAACAAGTTTAGCTTTGGAATCACCGAGATCGAGTGAGTCTTGTTATAATCTATTGAAGCTATCCACGAATCTAGACCGTAAGTAAAGCACACCAATTCGGAACGAAATTCGATTTGCGCTGTTATAGCTTACTGAGAAGGTCTTTTCAGAAAACAATCACAATGTTAAAATCGCCGAGATTTCAGCTTTCGAATGACTACTGAAATTCTTCAACAAAGCTTTGTCTAGTGAAAAATGCTCTCTGGAGAATAGAAGATGTAATAAACCCTCGTCGTCCGCAGAGGGTTAAAATACACTTGCTATTTTCCTCATAACACTTTTATGATGTATAATGTAAGTTCTATAAAATTCGCCTTATTTTGCATATGTTATGTGCTTCCATTAATTCGTTTCATTCGAAATTCTGTTCCAATCCCTGCTTTGCGGTTTTTTAATATGATTTCTTGCCATACAAATTGCGTAATTTTGGTGCCATTCAAATGAGCAGTTTCTTTCAAACATCTTGGTATACAACATGCCTATACTTGCTTTGAGGAGAAGATGTCGTGGGAGGAAATTCGCCTGCTAGTCATACACAATTGCGCCTAAGGTAAAATGCTAATGAAGCGGCGCGCAAGCTTGATGAAGCTTGGAGCGATGATACGGTTTCAGAAAGGACGACTGGAAAGTGGATCCTGAAGTTCAAAGCTGAAGAGAACATTCTGGAGAATCAGTCGCCCTCCGGCCGTCCAGAGGAGCTTGATCGTGAAGCCGTCTTTGAGATGGTCGAAGAGAATCCCTCAATGACATGCGGAATGCTACACGAAGACTTTGATTGTTGCTTCAAGACTATCGCCAACATGAACTGGATAAGGTCTGGGAGAAGTCAAAGTAGGTGCCACATGTTATGACCGAATCCTCAGAAGCCGTCCTTTCTGCAAAGGTATCATCGTCTCAGACTCCATTAATCTTGCGCGCCGTTTCACTACCATTTTCCGCTACGCGCCATTCGTGCATGAGTAGCGAACGAATTTCCTCCCATGACAGCTTCATCTCAAGGCAAGTATAGACAGTTTCTATACCAAAATGTTCACAAAAAATGCGCATTTGGACGATATCCGAATCGTGTAAATTCACTGCAAAAATCATTGAAAACAAAACGGCATGGACTATTTACACATCCTTATCATCTGAAATGTTTCTTTGTCTTATTTTTCCTGTTTTAGGAACAATTGATTTGTTGTCACTATTGTGCCAGCTTAATATTCTACTAATCCTCAACTTGAGTAAGGATTCAGTAGGTTAGTTGCTGACAATAACACTCGGAAGGTCGATGTCATGGCGTTGATTTGGCACCGAAATCGTAAGTGATTCGTCGATCATTCATCTTATAACTGCCTTTTCTTTCGATTTTTTGTTTTGGTGTGGCGATCATACGTGCTTTGGATAGCTGGTATTTTTTTTAGAGGGAGGGGGCGGGGGGGGGGGGTGGCTGAGTGGTCAGTGATGCATGCTATCCAGGAGCAATGTTCTGGTTCGACCCCATCCACCGACGCTCTCTCCCAATCATTCTTAAACGAAACCCTTACGAAACCTTAGCTCGAGTCCGTCCGAGAATGCGAGTTCTGCCCTTCTAGCATTCCACGGGATCCGTAAAGAAGATGAAATTCTCAGCAGAAGTAGAAACATCTTGGGAATTGTACGAAGACCTTTGTGTAGGATGAAGACGAGGAAACGAATCGATTCCGTGAAATATAGGGATCCACACAACAAAATGGTTTAAGGCGCTGTTCAAAATTGGAAAAACAGAAATAAAGTTGTGATTTTATGATGCACAAGCCTCTTGTTTGGTCGTTCTATGTGTTTTGGCACCAGAGCAATAAACACCAAGTTTATTAATCAGAAGTAATCAAAATCGCGTGGTTTTGGTATCGTTCAACTGCGCATTTTCTTGCGAATATTTTGGTATACAACTTATCTATTGCTTTAAGACTGAGCTGTCGTGAACAAATTCGCTTGCTACCATACATGAATGGTGCGCTGTAGAAAATGCTTGTGAAGCGGCGCGTAAGATCAGTGGAGCTTGGGGCGATGGTACGGTTGCAGAAAGGTTGGCTAGAAAGTGGTTCTCGAAGTTCAAGGCTGGAGAAAGCAGTCTGGGGATCAGTCGCTCGGGATATCCGCAGGAAGCTCCGTTAATCTTGCGCCGCGCCACGTGCATGAGTAACAAGGGATTTCCTCCCAGGACACCTCCATCTCAAAGCAAGTATAGACAAGTTGTATACCGAAATGTTCGCCAGAAAATGCTTGTCAAACATTGCCGAACTCGTGCAAATTTAATCACTTCTAGCTAGTGAATTTGATGTGTACTATAAGCTATATCTGTCGAAAAGCAGCTGAAGAAACTATGACATTTACTTGCTTGGGTATGGGTACTCTTGCGAGTGTGACTCCTTAAGGAGCTCATTTAACCCTTCCGGATTGGTATACCTTTCGGGATACAAAGCTATACCTATACCAGATACAAAGGTCTACCAATCCGGAAGGATTACATGAGCTCCTCAAGGAGTCACACTCGCAAGAGTACCTCTTCCCACGCACGTTAACTTGACCGCACTTGTATCCCCACAACATTTACCGTTTTGAAGGACCCGTCTTCATAAGCTTTCATGATCTACTTGGCACTCACAAGTACATGCTGATCGAATAAATCATTCTGAAGACAACTATCATGTGGACTTAGAATTCAGTTACAAAAGTCATTCAGTTTTTACTTTACAAGGCTCGTCTTCACAATTCAGTGTGCCAATCCTAACATCTACCGCAATCGATCCTATATTCCCATTCATCCTCCACTAAGGTCTTCAAACATTTCATATATTGCTTCGGCGGCTACTTGAGTAAATCGTCGTCTTACGACATTGCGGATCAAATGCATGCAATTTCATGCACTGATTGCCGCTCTGCGTGCCAGACAATTGGCATTGCTACGCTTCGCAGTCGCATTTAGAGAATTAAGGATCTTATGTTTTTGCTGCTATTTCGCAGCTGTTTTTCATGTAAACTTGGGAGAATTTAATGGTAGCCAAAAGTTCGACTCAGACAGGAGTTGTACCCGCGTTTCACCCGTACCGGGAGCACGTGCTACCGCTACACCCCCGAGGCAGCCGCTTACTTGCGGCTCATTATTCAAGATCTCTCTATCGTAGCTATCACCCACCAACCCTTAACAGGTTTGGTCGTGTAAGCAATTGCAAGTCATGCAAGCACTCAATTCTCATAAGTAAGAGAATTCAGTTGGTGAATTAGGGTTCTGAGGTGACATTATCATAATTAAATGACGGATTGTCTCAAGGGGGAGTTCTGTAAAAGAAATTTCAGTGGAAAGAACGCCCATATTTCCAGAAACATCCTACGTATCATCGCTGAGACCATTTTCTTTCAAAAAGAAACATACTTTCTGCTGTTATATGACATTTTTTCTTGTTTTATCAATGATCTGTAGTCATTCGGTAGTTTAATAGACACAGATTTTATACTGAGTTTGGTTTCTGAAACGACCTTGATAGCACTTTCTATCAACCAAAAGGAAACGTTATGCATTACGAGTAGTAAGCCATTGTTTGTTTGAACTTTACGGTGGATTCGTCGCTGCTTTTCAACTGAAACTTTTATTTTTGAGTCACTTTATCTCCGTTAGAGAGAAGAATATTATTGAAGGGTTTCCTATGAACACAATTTTAGTAAAAAACAGCTTCCAGTTTTCCTAAAAATCCTACTTTTCAATAAGTATACTTCATTGTTAGGATAGCATGTATTTCCCACTGTTTTTTCTTCGCATTTTTTTCGATAGTGCTGTGAAGTTGTAACTGGAGAACACCGCTTTCTTCATATACGACTTTTATAAGAAAGTAATATGTGAGTTTTCATCCAGAATGCACCTGGAGAAGTAGAAAGAGAGCACGTTCATCAGCTTGAGCGATTCGGAGGTTTATTTCGCTCTCAAAAACCCGGTGTCTTAGAAGAAACATCCACCTTGTTTGTACTTCACAGCCTTATTGAGGTCTCTTCCATTATATTCTCTCATTTGCTAACGATAAATTCCGTTTTAATAGCGCTAAAGAGCTATATTTTATCAGAGAGCCATCACATTGTCTTTGGACCACACCTGGTAACCGACGACCGCGTCGCGTCCAAGCGAAGTATCAGCGTGGTACGCAACGTGTTAATAAATTCAGTACAATGCTGGTCGAGACTTCTTGCAGTCCCCTAGGTATCTAAGCTAAGGCGTTACCTGCGTCGTTCAGTTAGTTGATTGCAAGAGAGTGTTGGGGTAGGGAATCGAGCCGGCGCATTACTATCGTCTAATTTGCTGGCACACTACCTCACAAGCCAACTCACTACTTTGCTAGAAAAACTACTAAAAGACTGTAAATGCTTGTTACAAAAAGGCGAACTTATAGACGACTTGTGGTCAACACAGTAGTGCGATTCGATCGCCGAATTTTTCCTTTACGCCTTTTTCAGTAGAATATCAGTTACCTTTTTCGTTTAGGACCATTAAAAAAGCCTAAAGGTGCTGCGTTGAGACCGCTTTTGCCAGCAGTGCCGGTGAACATACGGTTAGTTCTATTCAAATCGTTCATTTTCGTTTTTACCGTTGTTCCCTTTTCATAACTGCTTCATTTACAGTTATTTTCGGATACTATGATATTCTACTGCCTCGAGTGTGATTTCCTATCCCCTAGTGTTTCGCTGAAATCTACTTTTTTTCTATTTCACACCTTTTTTTCAGATGATATCTAATAATGTTTCACAAGATGTTTGTTCACAATCCAGTTGTGTACCTGATGGGGCCCCTGGCCGATTGGCTAATGATGCTCGGTGCGGCTTGACGCGGTGTTATTTCCCACCGTCCCTTAGCACTCCGTCAATCGGTAACCATCGCCCTAGGAACGTCCCAGCCTAGCTATCTTTGACATTGCAAGGGGACGTGCTCGGCCAGTAATCTGCGGCGTTCTCGTAGAAAATAAATTCTCCAGCGAGCGAGGAGACGAATCAAATGATAGAAGTACTGGAACTCGCATAAAAAACTGGATTCTTTAATAAGAGGGCATCTCATTCGTTGGAGAGGAAAGTTTCATAGGAGTGTTAGTAACCATTCGAAAGCTGAGACTTGAGACTACATCTCCAGCTCTCGGGTTTCCAAAACATCGCTTCGTGACGCTTTAGCATCTATTCAAAAATTATGTTTCATACTCGTCTTTCGCCTTCATTCTCACCACGCACAGAATTCGCTGGAAGCCGAAATGCATATCAATGTGAGAGAAATTTTCGTAGTATCTTAGTCAGTCGTTTTATCTGGAATTCTTTCAAAGCGGAGGAAAAATTCGCAATTAAAAAACAAAACAGCGACCGCCTCGCCTCGCTTCGCTCCTGCCACGACTCTCGCCTTGTCGAATAGCCTGTAGACAACGTTGCGAAAATGTAAAATTCGATCTTATCTTCCTGCTAAAACGTATTTCCAAAAATACGCACGTCGCTAGAAGCTAAAGTCTGAAGAAAGAGTTCGGTACGGCGATGTTTAAAACACAAATCAAAAGACTAGTAGAGATCAAAATTGGAAGAGCTTTTCATAAAGCAGGCGCATTTTTGAGTTCTTTAAAGCTTGTGCTATAGTTTGAGTGCTAGCACTTTAAGCAAAGAGATTTGTCCAGCGAAATATAAGAGAAGAAAAAACACGAGGGTATATGAAACATGATTCTATTTGAATGTTGAAGCGTTATAAAAGGTATTTTGAAAAAACGACGACGTGGGGCTGTAGCCTTAAGTCTCAGCTTTCAAATGGTTACTAAAACTCCTATGAGAATTTCTTCTCCATCGACTGAAATCGGTTTTTCACTTGTTCCCACGTAACTGAATTGTACCGAAAATTGTGATATGTGTCAAGTAAAGTGGTAATGTGAGCTGCGTGTACCTTTGAGGAGATACATCACCCTTTTTTTTCCTCCCATTTCATTCTCAAGCAGATTCAGTCGTCTCTCGCGAGTTTCCGGGGAGGTTATTTTATGAGATTGTTCGAATTCTTATTATAATGGTATTCGTCCGTGGCAGAGTGGTTGTGATGCTCGCTGCGGCGCGTGTGGAGCCGAGCTTCACCCCCCGACCTTTTCAGGCAGTCAACAACAACCTCCCTATGAAACGCCATAGCCAGGCTATCCTCGAGGTTGCAAGGAAACATGCTCCACCAGTATTCTTCTACGTCATTCAAGAAGAAAAACGAATCGAATGCTAGAAGTACTAAGATCCGCACAATAAAAGTTGTGATAACGGATCGTGTAAATAAAATAATGTCTAATGGTGAATAATTTAATGTGGTCTTTTACACAGTTCAGGTATGTGGTGTCTCCATGAACGTGTCATTGCCAGTGTTCTGTCTTCGATCGGATCTAGTCCATTCAAACCGTATTAGAAAGCTGGCACTTTCAGTTCATATATCTCCAAGAAAGCGATCTGTAAGAAAGAGCATTTCGCCTTCGAATTATAGGGCGGCTGTAAAAGGTCTTTTTTGCGGTTTTTTCCCTTCTTCTTAATGATTCACTTCTAACTTTGACAGTAGGGCGTTTTACTTGAAAATTCTTCTGCGCAAGTTTTTTTTCAGCTTCTGATTATATGTCTCTATCGTTCTTCTCCTGTTCTCATTTTTCCAAGATGCTATACATTAGGTCGCTTCTCAAGTTTTGGCACTAGAGTAATAAGCACCAAATTTCTTAACCAAAAGTCATGCAAAGTTGCATGATTTTGGTATCGTTCAATCTGCTCATTTTCTTACGAACATTATGGTGTACAACTTGCCTATACTTGCTCTAAGATGGAGCTGTCATGGGAGCAAATTCGTTTGCTACTCATAGATGAATGGCGTAGGGAAAAATTCTAGGAAGCGGCGCGCAAAATCAATGGAGCTTGCCATGGACGGCCCGAGCGCTACTGGTCCTCCAGACTGTTCTCTTTAGCTTTGAACTAAGCGAACCACATCCTAGCCGTCCTATCTACGGCCGGTATCATCACCCGAAGCTCCGCTACTCTTGCGCGTCGATACACTATCATTTTTCCTTACGCGCCATTAGTGCATGAATAGTCAAGCGAATTTCGTTCCTACGACAGCACTATCTCAAAGCAAGTATAAGCAAGTTGTATAGCAAAATGTTCACAAGAAATGCACATTCGAACAATGCCTAAATGATGCACTTTCAATGAATCGTGGCTAATAGAATTGGTGCTTATTGCTCTCACGCCAAAACTTATGGAACGGCCTTGTAATTCTAGGATTGATGGCACAGACGTTTTTTCTGACATCCAACCTGTTTAGCTGGTGACAGAATCCATGTTTTTTTCTCAGAATGAGTGATAGCGGAACAGTAGGCATGCGCTCCGGAAAAATTGAGAAGCGGGTTCAACTCCCGTGTGTGGTTCGGTTTTTGCATATCATTGAACATTATCGTAAATTCAGTCATACAAACTGAAATAAGGAGTGATCTCCTTTTGTTTAGCGAACTGTCGATGTCGTTATGTTTTGTGTTTTGATAATTTTGTCAATATTTTATGTTTTCATGGCAATACAGTTTACTTGTTGAAATTTTATGCCAATGTTGTCGGTTTCGTCGTTGTTGCTGTTGTTGTTCTTGTTATTATTGTTATTACTAATATTAGTGTTATTTTTGTTGTTGTTATTTCTTAATAGTTTTTTTTTCCCCGTGCATTGTTCGGGTTTGAGTTGTCGTTGACTTCGCCTGTCAGTATTTTGCTGTTCTATGCTGATAGTGTATTGAAGTTGCTAGTAAATATGTACTTTCTCATGTGCCCCGATCATACTTTTATTTTTTTTCACTCAGTTTACTTCGTTTACTCCTCAATATATGGTGTAAACAGTGATGAATTCTGTAGAAATTGTGGTTTTTATTTGTTATAATTGTAGTTTTGAGTATCTCTACGTCATTAATAAGATCTCGTTTTATGCTAAAACCGCTTTTAGCGGTGGTTTGTCGTATAAATATATATCCGATGGTTTAGAATGATATGCAAAACTCTGGACCTCACATGGGGATCGAACCCTTATTGCACCCTTTTGGGGGCTCGTGCTAGCCAGTTGCATCAACAAGGCTCCT